TTGTCATAGAAGGTGATCAGGTTAGCTTTCCAAGCTAACCAGGCTTGTTTGTGTTGCAAATTTATGTAATCTAGCATAAGAGATGGGAATGGGGATGCTGCATTTGCAACAATTAAGGGATATCTTACAACTATGTGATTAAATATGTTTTTAAAAATTATTTTAAATTGTGATCTGTGGAGACCATTAAGTTTTCATAGGAAAGAAGTCAAAAATTGAATTGTGCCCATTTTCTGCAACCTGAATTCTGTATATATGTACACACATCCCATTAATTATTATATGGTTTCAAATTACATGAGCTCATGCATTTTTAAAAACCTTCATGGTACACAAAAAACATGTGGCTGGTGTTTCCTAACTTCTGTGTCCTTCTCTGCATGACTGAAGTGTTTTCAGAACAGTTTTATGCATTTGATGCAGTAGTATTTAAAAGATCTACTGAGGTAGAGTCTGTGTTTTGATAGATACAATACAAAACCTTACTAAAATTCTCTGCTTGCAGGAGTTGCTAGTCTAAAGAATTATTCATTGGCCTTTGAACTACAAGTATGTTTTTTTAATACTTGTGACCCAAACATTGCATTGTAAAATTCAGAAGCTGGAAGAACAAAACCAGACATTGTAATTCTCTTGTATATGTCCCTAGCCACAAAACTAAGTGTTGTTCTTTTAGCATGGTCCCTTGTACTAATCACGATTGCTGATGAAAGCCCAGAGAGGCAGATTCCTTGATGCATCTTTTTAAAGCTTGAGCCTAGCTGCTTAGTTACCTTTTATTCAATTCTCTTTTGTGCTGGAGGTGTCTACCTAAGCTTGCATAGGCTTAGAGCCTATGAACTACTTGACACATTTCAGCAGATACTTATTCCAAAACCAATACTTTTAAATGTTATTTTTAAATGTTAACACTTATGTGCTCATCACATTATTTACAGAAAAATGTCCTACTAAGATATTCCTACATAACATAGCGCTTTCTCAGAATAGATGTTTTTAATACCATCTGTCACTTACCTTTTGTTGTTTTTAGTGAAGAGATCAGTTTTTATGTATGTGCAAACAATAATGTTTCACTCTTTTTACCTACAGCCAAGCTCTTGGAAATCTCCGATTTATATACTAATCAATCTAAAATATTTTAAATAGCTCATGAAGTTTTTTAAGGGGGAACTTCTCCAGTTCCAGAAGCATGTACTTGAGATAATGATTTTTTTTCTTCTTTGTAGCAACTTGCAAATGGAGATAGAGGCTTTGAAAATGTGGAGCTGGGCATCATAGGAAAGAAGAAGAAAATTCCAAGGAGAGTTATTCATTTTGCAAGTGGAGAAACAATGGAAGAGTATAGCACAGATGAAGAGGAAGATGAACAAGAGAAAAAAGACCTGTTGCAGCCTGTTGATCCTGTAGGTATTTTACTTGGTAAATTGCTACTTCTGGTTTACTGGGTAACTACCCACATTTTATACTTTAATTTCTGTAGCACAAATCTGATTTAATATTTAGTATTAAGGATTCCCTTGATTTGATTTGCTCTAGGGACTGAGAAATATGTGAGAAGTTTTCCTGAGAAGTTTTGTAATGAAATCATTCTCCACTAAAGTAGCCCTACTAATTAGAAGTGGGTTTAATTTCTTCATGGTTCTAGTCTGTCCTCTCCAGCATTTACCCCTCTATTTGTATTTGCATGGTGTTTCCTTGATTCATACTGTTGTTTAAAAAAATTTGCAGGGAAGGCATTTGTTTCCTTGTTTGGTCACAGTGGAGAGTTGAACCTGTAGTATAGTGTTACCATATTGATATATTTAGTGTTTATATATTTACTGTTACCATATTGATATAATCAAGAGTATGGAAGGAAATGAAACAGATGACTTGCAGAAATAAAGGAAAACTGATATAATTCATGATATGTAAAAACCAGGTTTTAAAGGACCTGTTTAATCCATGTATGCAATGTTTATCTGTCTTGTAAGCTGTTAAGATGTTGCTTGGTCTGTCAGTGGAGTTTCCATTTATTGATTGAGATTCAAGTGAAGTTTTGACGATTAAAGCTGTCTCCAATTGTGTGTATTGTAGCTGCTAAAATACCTTTTCCTTTTTGTCAATGGTCTGGATCTAAACTTAGACGGAAAATGAAACATATAATTTGTTCTATTCTGTTGGTGTGTCTGACAGTCTGTTTTGTAGTGACAGTGTATTTGCAAAGCTCACAGCTGTGTGTGGCAGCAGCTCCCTGCCCTCTGGCAGTTAGTCCCAGAGATCTGCAGCCATCTCCTCATCTCTCCACATCCCCAGTCTCACGTTTCTTTTATGACACCCTCATGAATTGGTGACCCAACCACCTCTTTTCTCTACCCCTCCTACAATTCTTACCCAAATAAATTGGGTCTGCAGTCCCAGGCTTCCTTCCTGGCCCTCTCTGCACTTGATTGCCTGTACTGAGCTAGAGACTCTGAAATTGATTGGGTCCTTCCTGATGTGCTGGCATGTGGTCAGCCAGTGTCATTGCTTTGTGCAGCAGCTAATACTGCCTGGTTGCACACTGGAGGCAGATGCCAGTGTGGAGCTGCTTGTTCCCATGCTTCAGATAAGAGTCTTTGCATGTACAGAAGCTGGTGCCCTGTTTCCTACTTGACATTGCTGTAGATATGACTTCTGCACCGTTGTTTGGGAATCTGTGATTAAGAAATGTGGCTGAAGCACTCTCTTTACTGTACAGTAGTAGGTCCTGCATTTATTTATATGCATATCTGTCCTGTGAGAGCTTGGCTTTGTTGAAGGGACTGCCATGAAGACTGACTTTTCTGCTCATTCTCTTCTGAAAAAGTGTTGAACCATAGGGGGTTTGCTTTGGGAAGGACTGTCAATCAGTCCTTTTTTTCTCCCTGTGTAAAATGAACTTATCTTGAAGAAGAAAAAAGGTGGTTTGAGGGTTGAGATGCAGTAAGATGCAGGGAGTTCAGCTGAGACTGGGTTTCCTAGCAATTCACAGGTGAAGCTGTTGTATTTCATCTTGAATGGATGGTACTGTTGTCTCTGTCTTCCTAGGTAGTTCTTGTATACAACAAAAATAACATTAGCCTGAGAGCAGATAGGATATCAGTAATATAAAATACACCTGAAGTTTATAGATTGCTTGTGAGTATAATAATTTATTTTCAATAGTAGATGTTAAGCTGCCTTGGTGGGTATTGGGTTTTTTTCCCCTCCCTCAGGATCTACTCAAAGAAATGCAAAAACTGTGAAACTTACTGGGTATTATGGTAATGTTCAGGTGTCTTCAGAGTCAGGTCTGTTGTTCCCCACTCTGCAGGTGATGTCAGATATCCAGGGCTGTATAAGGGATTTTTTCCCAGTTATAATTAGCAAGGGGCCAGATCTGTATCATTTTTTGTGCCATTTCCTCTCAGTAGAGAAGTTCCACCATGGTGCAGTGATGGAAGGCTCATGAGCCTCAATGTGCATATTATGAGGCCAGAGACGTGCATGCTGCTGTACAAATGGACACTTCAGAGCTCTCAAACGTGGACAACAGCCAGGAATGCTGTGTGATCACTCTTCCTGCTTTCCTAATAAGAATTTTTCTTCTGAATACCGAAAGGTATATTGTATGGCACAGTTAAGATTGCTTTATTCTCCTTTCATAGTTTATTAAATCCTTCTTTTTTTTCTAACACTTTTTAATAAAAGGACCCCCCAAACCAGAAGTTCTTGTGGAGCACAGTATGCCTTATTATGTATTGCTTTTTACCTTGACAGAATAAACTTGATTAGACCAAGGGTTGCCATTAAGTGAAGTTTACCTTACCTGCTGCACGTTTTGTGTATCCTAGCTGAGCTAGTCAATTGAAGAAATGCTAATTCAGGCCGAACTTTGATGTTTTAGCCAAAAGCCGCTTTAAAAATGTTTTTACTGCAGCTTTTTTCTGGAAAAGCAAAGTGGTGGGTTGATCTTGGCTGGATGCCAGGTGCCTACTAAGGTGCTCTATCACACCTCTCCCTAAGCAGGACAGGGTGGGGAGAAAGTAAGATGGAAGAAACCCTCGTGGTCAAGTTAAAGTCAGTTTAAGAAAGCAAAAGCAAAGGCTGCACGTGGAAGCAAAGGAAAACAAAAGATTTTTTTCTCTACCATCAGCAGGCAATGTCCAGGCACTTCGCAGCAAGCAGGGCTTCAGTATGCGTACTAGTTGCTCCAGAAAACAAACATCATAGTAACAAATGCCTGCCCATAACCCTGCCTCTCCCCCCTCCCCCAGTCTTTCTCTTAGCTTTCATTGCTGAGCAGATATCCATATATGGTATGGACTATCCCTTTGGTCAGTTTGGGTCAGCTGTCCAGGCCATGTCTCCTCCCCAAGATCTTGCCCACCCCAGCCTACTGGTGAGGGGAGAGAGAATGTTGCAGACACAGCCTGGATGCTGTGGGACCACTGTTCAGCAGCCGCCAAAACACTGGTGTGTTACCAACATCGTTCTAGCTACCAGTACAAAGCACAGCACTATGAGGGCTGCCATGGGGAAAATTAACTCTATCTCAGCCAGTCACAGTACAAGCAATTAAATAGTCAGTTTGCTGAGACCAGCACGTCTGAAACTTAGCGAGGATACGAAAAAGTGTGTTGCAAGTAATAGCTGTTTCAGGTCCAATTTATTTTTACAAAAGGCACATTTAATATTCTGAATAGAAGATTTGTGTTATGAAAATTCAGAGCTCAGCTGGTATTGGTATCCTGGCAGCTTCTGAATAAGTTTAAGGGAAATTACTATTTTGCATGTTGTAAGGAAATGTCTTCAGTAAGTACCTTGATTTAATTGTGTTTTAGAGCTAAGCAGACAGTGACAATGTCTTTCTTACTAAGCAAAGTAACATGTATATCCTGTTGATAACAAAAATTCTTCATGAAGAACTGCAGCCTGTGGGAAGGGGTTTTTAAGATCTGGTTTTATCACTCATTATCCTGCTCTAATTTTCATTGTTAATAAATTAAACTGAGTTCCCAAAGTCTAGTCTGTTGTGCCCATGACCGTAAAGGTTGAGTGATCTCTCCCTGTCCTTGTCTCGACCCATGAGCCTTTTGTTGCATTTTCTCTCCTCTGCCCAGCTGAGGAGGGGCAGTGACAGAGTGGCTTTGGTATGCTCCTGGGCTCCAGCCAGTGTCAACCCACCACAGATGCTTACATTTTATATGTAAATTGCTTTTTGCTTTTGTCCACCAAAACTTTATTTTGTAGTAGTTAAATTTCTCTAACTTGTTTTAGAATATAATATTTCTGTTTATCCCAGGAGGGCCACTTGCTATAAGCTCTTTGTTGCATTCACCTATTACATGAGTAGGCAGAAGGTGGAGTGCAAGTCTTTGCAGAGCAACTCTAAGCAGTATAACTGTTGGTGATAACCTTAGAATTAATCTTGAGAACATCTCTGCAACAAAGCTCCAGAAGAGGTTAATTAACCTTCAGTGCTTAGAGAGATTGGAACACATTCTTGCAGGAAAATTATCTTGATATCCTGTAAGTTAAAAGGAGCTTAACTTCAGATAGCAAAAAGTCTTCTCTTGAGGACTGTCAAAGTCTAATTTTAAGAATTTTGGGATGAAGGAGAAAAAATAGTCATTGACCAAGTAACAGCCTCTATGGTAGAAGCTTTTTGGTGGAGGATGGTGTGTGTGTTTCTGATCTTTTTTCACTGGTTTGTCTTAGATAGCACAGTTTTACATACTGCATACACTGAAGGATCTATTGTAGCCATTACCAGTCAGTAATTAAACTGATTTAAAATGCATTTGGCACAGTAAACAATGGAAAGATATCTATTTGTTGGCATATATTAGCTCTTAAATACAGGATTTGTTTTTTTCTTAAATCAGGAAAAGATTATTTTCCTCATTTTGCCATTTTCTGTGGCAAAAATAAATATGGATTGTCTAGGAACATGGTGCTCTTAGAATTTCAAGGGAGTGTTTGTATGCTCCCTTTGGCAGCCCCATACTAGGAAATAAAATCATGTTCTGTTGTTTAACCAGAGCCCTCTTGGTTTTATCAATGGTTGAATTTGTTATGTTCGTTCCTACTTAAAATGCAACACTTGGATTAAAATTGTAGATTAAGAATTTTGTAATTTAAAAACCAGTTGTCACAACCATTGTATTTTCCATTTTAAACAACAAAATAAAGTCAGGATAGCTGAATAGTAAAATTAAGCATTGTAGAAGCGTGTACTGAAGAGACTGATGGCAGGAGAAGTACTGTCCTCTAAACCAGTGTCCTGTGTTTCATACTGCTGCCCCTTGTTTCCAGTCAAGAAAAACAGTGTTACTTTGTCCTTTCCTTGATTAAAGACTGAACATTAAAGCTTCCCTTGCCAAAGGAAGTTGACATGCAGTGTCTGACTATGTGGTTCTTACTGAACAGTAGTAGGACCTGACTTGGGTACCATTTTCCAGTATTGCTCAATGCATTAGGGCTACTTCCCGGAGTAGGATTAGTTTGAACTGAACCACTGCTTAATAGCCCTGTTCATTATCACCCAAACAGTTCTGGTTTTTTCCAGTAGTTTCCTCATCTGACGTTTTTTTTCCAGAGTGCTCTGGGAAACCACCTGAACTTACCATGAGGAAATAAGGGCGGGGGGGAGGAGGGAAAGGATTATTCCTTGAATGTGTTCCCTTGTACCTGGTTGTTCTTGGTGGTTTCCTCTCCAAGCAATCTACTTTCTCCTGTTAAATGTGTGAAGTAGCTTCTCTCATGGTTTTATATTGCCTTTGGAGACACATAAAAGAATTCACCTTTTCTAAATGGAGGGGACTGGCAAAGCCTTGATAGGCAGGGGTGAAGAAGTGTCTGGTTGGGCTTTGTCAGCAAGCAGAGTCTTCCACAAAGCTCAACTTAAAAGTGCTCTTAACCTACCAAACTGCTTTGTAATTGTGGTGAGGGAACAGCAGAAACAGAACCTCTGTGTCTGCGGAGCCTCAGACGTTCCCTGCATTCATGTTACCACAAACACCTTCAAATATTCCATGTCTGAGGTATTTCTGTCATGTTGAAGTTCAGCTTGCCTTTTTTCATTCTTAAGTGTTACTGGGCTGTGGTAGCTTCTTGCTTGCAGCCACACAGCAGGCCTGTGTTTGTCCTGCGCACTGAGTGAATGCTTTTTAACCTTGTCACATCATTACAAAGGATTGTACAGAGCCTTGTCAATGCCATTGTTTGCACCTGTGGCACCAAGCTTTTCCAGCCCTTTTCTTGACTTCTTCAACTGAACAAAATCCAAAATGGTTGTCATTAGCTTCTCTGCCAACTGAGCACGCAATCAACAGGTTGGAGGTGCTTTTGTGCAAGCAGGATAGCAGCTGGTTTTGCTTACGCTTTTACCTTGTCAGGACATTTTCTATGTCCACTGCCAAAAATATATAGTGTCTGGCTTTTTTCAGGCAGCCCAACTTGGGTTTCTGGCTTGACAGATGGTTTCTTGCTGCACTGATTTGTAGAGGCTATGCTTGGAAAGCACTGAAGTCTAGTAGCTTGTGTACGTGCATACTGAAGCTATACCAACTAGACTCTGTAGCTGTATTATTTACAATAATATTGGTTGTCCTCTGCAGATTATCTATTAAATAAGATCACAGAACATGGTTACTATCTAACAGTTTTTAGCAGCAAGTTATAAATACATGTGTAACTGAGTGGAGCTAATGGGTTTCATTTAATAAAAGCTGATGCTTTTAATTGCTGCTTTTGACAAGGAAACTACCTCTGGAAGAGGTCTTTATTGGGGGAAATACATAACAAAGAGCTTGCCTGAATACAACGGGCTGTCAACTATAAACATGTTTTAGTTCACTATGAAATTTGAGTTTGCCTTTTTACAAAAGTGAAAGCCTACAGCTTTTTCCCTGTTAGATTGGAATCTGCTTTTCCCCTTCTCCTTTTCATTAAATGGCTTGTTGTTTATCTTGTTTTGATAGCCTGTGTCTGCCCATTAATTTCTAAATTTTAAGTTCCTATGTGTAAGTATCTCAGTTTGTCTGGAGGCTGCAGTACTTCCTCTGTGGATGTCAATACACCACAGTTGTGAAAAAGGCAATTCCCCCTCCTTGTCCTCCCGGCCGATCCTTCCTGAAGAAGTACGTCTGTATCCCTCCATTGCAGCACTCCAGTCATGCAAGCTGTCTACTGCATCTTGAGGATCCCAGCTCTGCAGCTGCACACAGATCTCTAATTCCTCGTGTTTACACCCCATGCTGCATGTCTCACTGTGCAGGCACCATGGCGACACTTTCTCACTTACATGCAAATGCTTGAGGTGACCCCACTTGAGCCCGGTTTTGTGCATTTTGTGTTCCTTGTTGTTCACATCACTGCAGGCCCTTGTCAGTGTGTCCATCTCTCCCTCAGAGCTGCGGTAACTCCCTCCCTCCCTAGTGGTTCCTGGTTTTGTTCTTCAGGTGCAGTTCCAAATGATAATTCATATCTGGTTGTAAATACTTGGAAGCAGCCTCTTGCTCAGGGACTTCTTTGAAGGTTTGATTTTAAACAATCTTTTGCAGTTCTCATTACTGTAATGAGGGACTACTAAGTTAAGCCACTTCTCTTCTTGGCTTGATGGAATTCAGAGCATTATGGAAAGGTCTTTCTAGTTATGGGAGTTACCTTGGGATTGAGTCAGATGCTTGTCATTTCCCAAGTCTGGAAGTAAGAGCAAAAACCAGTGAACAAATGTTTCCAGATGTAAACTGTGGTTATATGTATTAATGTATGATGTCTGTTCTACACTTATATTAAAGAAAAAAATTTGTGGTAGTTGGCAAACAGGAAACATTGAAGATCTTTCTTCTCAATCTGTTGGAGCTTTTGCATGTATTATTATGTGCCATGAACGCATTCATACCACTGTTGTTCTTACAGACAACGCTCACATGGGGACCCTACTTGTGGTTTCAGATGCTGCGAGTTGCCACATCAACCTTATCAGGTATTGCATCATTTAATTCTTGGGTAAACCACTAATGGAATTTTGAAAGTCCCTTTGATAGACTGTAAATCACCTTTGTAAGCTACTGGCCATTTTTTCAAAAAGTGTGAATAAACCTGGATTTTAATCTGTGGAGATGTACTCTTGTCTTCGGAACTTTTTTTTTTTAATTTCAATCAACAACTTTTGCATGGAAGAACAAACAGAAAGCACCCTTTTGCTGAACACTTTTTTCCCCCTTTTTCTCTATATGAAGATAGGGTGGTATTGGCAAGGGGTGCATATCAGCTTTCTATTAGGTTTTGTATGGAACTGTTTTGTATGATGTTATCTGAAAATAATGTGGTTTGAAGTAACTAAACTGACAGTTTTTGTGAAGAAGACAACTGGAAATTATCCCAAGAACACATCTAGTCTTTTGCTTTACAGCAGATTTATGAGGTTACAAAATACACAAAAATAAGACTATTGTCTAGAGTCTTAAACTCACTGCACATAAATTTATTTGACCTGTGGATGTCATAAAATTCTGTGAAGTTTTAAAAATACTTGTCCTAGTTTGTGGTCCTCCCAAGGTGTAAAGTGTTTTTACTGGGACAAATGTTGTGGAATTTCTGTCATTGTACACTTGAGTATTTATAAAATACATTGGCAATCTATTATATTAGTTAACCTATCCTCATTTTAGAAACACCTCTTTTATACAGTGTAATTCTATTCCTTGTCGTATTTGTTCTTCATACATAAAGATAGATACTGCTTTCCTTTTGTCAGAAGTACGTTGTGATTTTGAAGACTAGTATTTCCTTCTTCCCACTTCAGTTTTGCCTCTTACATTAGTAATTTGAACTGGTCTTTTGCACAGAGCTCTGGATGCCAGGGTATCTATAAAATTGGTTATTGTGAATATTCATTGAAGCAGTCAATTGCTAACTTCCAACTTGTTTTCCCTGAAGATGACTAACTTATTTGCATACTCGGGACAGATTTAAAATTTGAAGTGCAATATATTTAACTTACTAACTTGCTTTAACCGGTGTTCTACGGTAAAGAGTCTGACTGACGCAAGCCCACCTGCTCCTGAGTGTGCACTAACCTGTTCCAGCAAAGTAGTGCTGCATGTAGCCTTCAGCTTGAAAACTGAGATAGCTGAAACCTAATGATTTTATTAATCCATTAGTATGCAACACAGAGCATTGTTAAAACTGCTCCTGACTTGAGGTATGCAGATATCAAGAAATAACTCTCTAGTTTGCTGGTACCATCAGACTGAAGTGCCAATACAGTTGGTAGCCATGTATTTTTGTCTAACCTTTATTTTCAGTCAAAGTTCAGTTAAAGGCTTATCCTTTAACTGATCCCCTAGCGAAACAAACCTAGATCCAACGCGAAACTAGTAGTATTCAAACACTACCATTGAGATTTTCACTGACTTCCATGCTCTTCTCCTTTTGTTCATTCTTTATCTTAAAAAGCAATTATTAGTATATTGAGCTAATAAACTTAGTAGATCAGCGTAGCAGATTTTGACTTTGTCTTTTGAGTGAAGAAGGACTATGGAAAACCATTCAGGAAAAATGATGATACCTTTTAAAATAAAACTGTGCTCTTTATTTTTTTTAGTGTGTGATTTTCTTGGGGAAAAGATTGCATCTGTGCTGGGAATAAGCACACCAAAATACCAGTATGCCATTGATGAGTATTACAGAATGAAGAGAGAGGTATGTGTGCAAGAGGGGGTTCTTGCACTCTTTTTCTCCCAACTTGCCTTCCCTGGTATTTTAAAAAATGAAATTTGTATTACAGCATTAAAATTAAGTTCTAGAACCTCTGTTTCGGCTTGCCTCCAGTTTTTATTTGACACATGATTAATGCTTGTTTATCCACCAGCCTTTTCTCACCAGCTCATCAGATTGAGAACTGTCTGGGTCCTGACCACTGCTCTGTTTCTCTTGTACAATGCATTTTCGAGTCAACAGTGCGAGAAAGTTGGCCAGAGCAGTTACTGGACATTGTAAAGAGGCAGCTTCTAGGAATATACTTTCCAACTCTAAAACTTGTTCAACGAGGTGTCAAGGGTAAATTGAACATGATGTTACTGTTCTAAACCATAACTGGAAATGACTGATAGGTAGCCAGTGCTTTATTGCAAAAACAGAAAAAACCAAAAAAAACCACCCCTTAATAATCTTCATTTGGAAGAGATGGGAAAGATATTTACATCTTTACTACTTATATCTTATTTTTGATAGTTCTTTAAGAGCTAAAAAAGTTTTAGAGAAGGTAGAGCTATCACTATTGCTGTTCACGAAAAACTGCTTATCTAGACGTGACATTTTTTCTGTGTTTATTTAACACAGTTTAATCCTTCTTTTTTTTGCTTTTTTTTTTCCCTGTGATAAGAATTCTGGAATATACCTCAACTTATGATCAACTAGTGACCATTTTCTGGTGGAACAATAGCCTCACCTTGTATCAGGAATGGGTATGCTCTTACAGAAAGACTTAAAGTGAATGTAAATAGTAGATATTAGCTTATGAATCTGGTTATCTCTTTTTAGGAGGAAGAGGAGGAACAGGAAAACAAGATGTCAGAAGAAGCAGAAAGACAGCATCAGGAACAGCAGAGCAAACCACAGGCTGAAGCTCCTGTCCAAACAGACCAGCCTGAAGCAACAGCATGCACTTCATTTCTGAATGTAAACTTTGAAAATGAGGGAGATTGCCAGTCCACTGGGGAAAATAACCATGATGTAGTTCCTGTCCCTCCTTAAGTGTAAAGCTCTGTGTAATGTAGGAAATAGGAAGTATCAAGTGTCACAATCTGGATATAAGCAGGAGGAAAAGTAAGATTGTTCAGTGAAATACAACTTCTGGCATTCTTATTGATCTTGAGAGAGCTAGGCAGTGTCTGTTCAGTCTCTCTGCCTAATAAAGACAGGGGCATTCTGCCAAATTGGCACTTCAGATAAAATGAAAATTGCACTACAAACATTTGGTCCAAAATTCAATGTGTGAGCTAATTTCTGTGTAAAGCAATTAAAAATGTCTTTTCTTTGAATTTCTGTGTCTCTTAATGCCTGTGGATTGCAGATGTAGTGCTGTTTCCTACTTCTAAACACCTATTTCTGATGAGCACATTGTTTGCAACTCAGCTGTCTATGAATAGATTAATAGGAATCAATATCCTGTATCTCACAAGTGATTATAATAGCATCTGATTTCCGCTATTTATTGTCACTGTTGTATGTGTGTATTTTTTCTGTTGTTTAACAGAGAGAATGTTAGATTTAATATTAATTAGATTTAAGGGTCCACTGACTTTTTGTTTTATGAAAAAAAAGTATAAAGGAGGCTGTAAACACCTTTAAGAACTTAAAACAAGTTACCAGCACTTTTGGAGGCTAACAGTGCTCAGTTGCTCCATTCAGTCATACAGCAAAGTACAGAACTAGCATGTGTCACATGTTCTCATTCGAAGTCCAACAATTAAGAGACCCACCTGCTTGAATGCTTAACATGCTCTGAATCGTCCTGGGAAATAAACTCAGATCTTGCTAAATTGCACTGAATGCACTGGAGACTATATATGGGTACCAGTCTAGAACTATCTACACGTTTCTGGACACAGGTTAAGCAAGTGCACTAACTCAGGTAATCTAAGCAGAGTATTTGTTTAATGTTAAATTTCCAGTAAGGGATGTGCCATTGCAGATGTTTTTCTCTCCTCTAGCACAGAATGCATAAATAACTAGAAATCACAAAACCAAATTCATTTATGATTCTTCCTTTTTCTTAAATAAACAAAACATTGTCTTGCAATACTGCAACTACTTCTGTTTTTGTCTAAGTGAAACAAAGGTAGCTCCAGAGCTTTTAAGTAGCCCCAAATACCAATTAAGGCTTTTCTACTGCCATGACTATCATTGTACTTGCAGCATGTGAAAGGTAGTTTACCTTGCGACAGTCAGGTGTCAGTAACCCAGTCACTTTCTATAGAGAATCGTCATAGATAAAGGAGCAGAGAACCTGCTAGTTACCATGTGAAACATTACTTCTGTCCTTCAGATTTCTAAGAAAAATAGTCTCCAGAGAAATGTTGTGTTGGGTATCATCGTATGTCCCTAACCTTGGTCCCACTACCAATTGGAGAACCTGATGTAACATAAGAGACCAGGTAGGCCTGCTATTAGTTCAGTTGTGTATTTCAGACAACCCTGTGCTTGAAGGAGTGTCCTATACAGCACAAATTCCTTCTCCTGGCATCTGCCCTCAGCATTGCAGCACTACAGAAATGTTCCGAGGAGGATTCAGTCATCTGTTTTGATACTGTTCTTTGCCTCTTTTTGAATTTTAAGAGAGTGCTGACAGCTGTGTAAAATCATTATTCCTCAGCCCTGAACATCTGCAAGGGAGGGCGTGGTTTAATACCTGGGGAATACACAGAAAACAGCTTGTTGGGAGTTCTTATATTGTCAAAGACAGAAAGCCTCACATAGCTCAAGAGTAGAACTTCTACAGCTGAAGGGTGCTTTGCTTGTCAGCCAAGAAATCAATGTCAGTTGTGCCATGGTCCCCCCATCTGTTTCATCAGAAATGCCCTCACTGCCTTGGGTTTAAACTTCTTTGTATAAAATACTGAATCACTCACTGTGCCTTAACTTAATCCTTCCTTCATTTTTTTGCAAACTGTATGAAAGTGGTTACTTTAATAATGGTTTATTTTTTCTGTAAATGCATTAATTTGTTATTTTATATTTAATATAATTTTTGAACTTAAGTTGGCTATGGCTTTTCCTTTAAATCTGTGTGGTCTTTGAAACTTAACACCTGCACACAGAGGACATGCCTGTTCACGGTTTTCATCCTTATTGAATCACACATCCTGGTGGAATATTCAAGCACTGAAATTCAAAATACTGTGCTACCCCCACCCCTTCCTTAGAGACTCATGCAGTACTTGTTAACATACTCTGTGTGCTCAACACTACCTCAAACTAATAAATAATACAGGATTGCAACCACCTCTGGCTGGGAGCTATTGTAATTCTATCTGAAAGTTGAAACATTTCTACAGCTTTGTTAAAAGAGTTTCACTGCTTTAACTACTGCTGTAGCTCAGCTGTACAGTTAAGTTAAATTACATAAAATACTGGCACTGGAGGTTAAGTTGGAGAAAGCCGTCATACAGGTGTTTGGACTACTTTTAACTAGATCTAAAGCTAGAGTTTTCTGTTAATGAACCTCTTAAGAATTAGGTAAATATTCAGTCAATTTGATAGTTATTTACTTATCCCTTCTGTTAGACACTTAAAGCTGGACATACACAGAGTAAAAAGGTCTGAACTCTTTATCTCTTACTAAAGACTTCTGTCTTTTTACAGTAGAATGGTCAACAGTGCTATCATTAGAGGCCATACAGAATGCAGTGGCAGGCCTGGGATGGCTAGGTGGATACGGGCCATTGCTGAAGTTGCCCAGAACCACATCCTCACTTTCAGGGTACATTCACATTTAGACTCGGTATTCAAATAAGAACAGGGCTTGGTACACAGGGAGGAAGTCAAAAAATATTTATTAAAAAAATAATTTTAACCTCAACACTAGCTTTTTTGGTTTCAGAACTTAGTTCTGCAATTCCTTTATGTACCACATTTTATACTGTATGGGGGTGCAAGAGGAGTGAAGTAAAATGGAAGAGGCATTGATTCAGATAATGAATGTTACCAGCTTCCAACTATTGGCGCATCAGCTCGAGATATCTCTATGAATACAGCCTGCTCCTGTTCAAAGTCACGTATCATCAACGTCAGCAATGTTGTCATTATCACTCGCCACAAGAACCTCTCTGTTTTCATATGTCCAGAACCCATTTAGATCAATTAGAATGCTGGTAACAGTGTCTCCTTGACTGCTATTGATTAAGTCTTGAAGGGAGATTTTGTAAGGATCCTTAGGCTTCACCATATCAAAGATTTCATCCTATGAAAGAAAAGTCAAAATTGGGGGAAAAAAAAAAACATATTAATGAGCAGAATAATGACTACTTTATACCATATACAGAATGATATTTGAGTAACTAGTGCCACCCACACCAATCTACAAAAAAAGCTGTTAAGTCCTAAACCATTTAAGATACAAAGCAAAATAATTTTTTTGCTATGGACAGGAGCTGTATGTTTAACTCCCACATCTCAAGGAAGAATTTGTTTCTCTGGGGAGGCTTTGGCCTCAAAGTGGAAACATAAAACTCAGTTTGCTTGTATGAGCTAAGTTTTATAGAAGCTATAGAATTTTTTTTTTAAGTACTAAAACTGCTAAATGTAACGTAGCCAATAACAAAGAGTTTTATAGATGAGTTTTCTCAGTCCTCAGGCCACCCGCCACTCCAAGGGATGAATCATAAAGTAGACATACCAAGTATCTTCAAGCGTAAGGCACAGCAACATGTATTTAACAGGTAATTTTGTCTGTTAGTAAGGAAACTACTAGAACAGTTGCATACCACATTTTTTTGCAATTGCTGAATAGAAAGACATATTCAAACCTATGAGTAGGACAAGTCAGATCTTCTCTACTGCTCTGTAAATAAATATACAACAACCTAGAAACCATGATATCACATAAGTAACCTCATGGAGTTCAACAAGGCCAAGTGCCAGGTCCTGCACCTGGGTCGGGGCAATCCCAAATACAAGTACAAGATGGGCAGACAACTGATAGAGAGCAGCCCTGAGGAGAAGGACTTGGGGGTACTAGTGGACGAAAAGCTGAACATGAGCCAGCAGCACAGAAAGCCAGCTGTATCCTGGGCTGTATCAGAAGTGTGGCCAGCAAGTCGAGGAAGGTGATTCTCCCCCTGTACTCTGATCTCGTGAGAGCCCACCTGGAGTACTGCATCCAGCTGTGGAGCCTACAACATCAGAAGGATATAGACCGGTTGGAGTGAATCCAGAGGAGGGCCACAAAGATGATCAGAGGGCTGGAGCACCTCTCCTATGATGAAAGGCTGCGAGAATTGGGCTTGTTCAGCCTGGAGAAGAGAAGGCTCTGGGAGACCTTCTTGCAGCCTTCCAGTACCTGAAGGGGCCTACAAAGAAGCTGGGAGGGGACTTTTGACAAGGGCCTGTAGTGACAGGACAAGGGGTAATGGGTTTAAATTGAAAGCGGGGAGGTTTAGATTAGACAACCAGAAGAAGTTCTTCATGGAGAGGGTGGTGAGGCACTGGAACAGGTTGCCCATAGAAGCTGTGGATGCCCCATCCCTGGAAGTGTTCAAGGCCAGGCTGGATGAGGCTATGAGCAACCTGGTCTAGTGGAAGGTGTCCCTGCCCATGGCAGGGGCGGTGGGACTAGATGATCTTTAAGATCCCTTCCAACCCAAACGATTCTGTGATTCTAAATTATTAAATGCTTATTCAAATATTTCATGTAGTATTCTATTCAGTAACACAAACCTTGACATCCTGAAAAGAAACTGGTTCTTGTCCATGGATTTTCATTTGTTCCTGAATAGCCTGGAAACAAGAAAAGTTAGGAATAGGCAGCACAGTATTATACCACCAACACTGTATGAAACTTTTTTAATGCCTCTACGTCTTAAGCTGTATTGCCTTGTAACACAAGTACTCGTGGTACACCTTGCAGTCAATTCCCTTCCACAAGTGAGGCAGGGGTGAGTTACGCATGATCAATGATACGCACTTCTAGGTTCACGGTTCTTAGTATGTTAAAAATCCAACTTTCATTATGAGTTGTGTTTGAGTACTCTGCAAATGGGATACGCAGACACCTGAATATTATCACTCAAAGTTCAAGATAGAAACACACTCAACCAGAAGGTTCAGTTTTCTGACAGAAGTGTGAAATACTGACTAGAAAAAAAAGAGTAGGGAAAAGACAAACCATCAGACAGACAAAGCAGTGTGGCTACTCAGACTTTCAATTACTTTGAAAATGGAAGCTGTACTCAGGTTGAAATTAACAACAACAAGAACAATAATAATAACAATGATAACATGAGGGAGACAATGCATTCGTCTATTTGAGCATCTTTCCATGCGTGGGAGGTTCTCCAAGTTCATGCTGGAAGTGGGCATTTCTCATTTTAAGCAAAATAGTACTCCCTACTATCAGTTCTTTCAACTGTGGTACTATTTAAACAGCTGCATTGCCAAACCTCTGCCTGCAAATAACAACTGTGAACAAAACTGCTTCAGTAGCATAAGTTGCATAGCCCTGTCTGCACATCAGTATCAGTACAGCCTCTGTAGTTGCAGGCCTACCCACACTTACACTAGCAAATAGCAGTTATTCACAGAGTCAAAAGGCACTGTTCTGATTTCAAGGAAATCTTAGAACTCTCCATTTCCAAAAGTTTAAAGGAGGGACACATTTTGGAGTATGATTAAGAATCTGCTGTATTCGAGGAATCTTTTCAATAGCTGATCCATAGAGTAAGTACATATATATAAAAACAGCAATGCCACAGTAGCTTATGCAGAATTAGCTTGTTAAATTGTTTTCACATTGGAGTTGCTTATGTACTATGACAACCCTAAAATTCATGGGGTTTGTGAAACGTTAAAAATTAACACCCTTTAATAAAATCCGTCAGGCCCCTGGCCTCCCTAAATCCTACTGCCATGTGAACAGAAGCAGAGAAAGCGGTAGGAATGGTGAGCTGCAAAAGCAGGGAGAGAAGACAAGTCATTGCTTAGTTTCTCTAAGATCCTTAGTATGGCCAAGTCCTGGCCCAACAGTTGCCCACCAAGCACACAACACATCTCTATCTACTAAACAAAGTTCACAATGAAGTTCAAAAGGCACATGCAAAAGTCCTGCCTGCAGAATAACCCCATGAAGCAGTATGCTCTAAAGACCAGCTACCTAGAAGCAGCTCAGCTGAAAAGTTGCTGGGGGTCTGGGTGCACAAGAAGTTGAACAAGAGTCTGCAGGGTGCCCTTGCAGTGATGAAGGCAGATAAATACTGGATTGCACTAGTACAAGCATAGCTAGCAGGTTCAGAGAGGTGATTACTCCTCCTGACTCAACATTTGGACACAGTACCTCAGATGTAGCCCCCCAGCTTTGGGCTGCCCTGTATGAGACACTGACAAACCAGTGGGATCCCACCAGAGTGCTATCATGATGCTGGAGGAGCTAAAGCACAGCACAGCTGAGAGGAGTGGCTCGAGATGGGGATTAAGTGACCTGGAGAACAGAAGGCTGGGGTGGTGGGGGAAGTCTAGTTACTATCTTCAACTACCTAGCAGGTGGTTAGAGACAACACAGACAGACTCCTCTTGCAGACACACAGTAAAAAGGCCAAGAGGTATTCCAACTACACAGTGATGGGAGAAAGGGTGAGGGGAGAAAAGTCATCTTTGTCAGGGTAATCAGACAGTGGAACACATTGCCCAAAGAGGCCATAGAGCCTCCATCCTTGGAGATACCCAAAACTCGCCTGGAAAAGGCCTTGAGCAACTCAACCTAACCACGAAGCTGGCCCTGCTCTAAGCAGATGGTGGGAGCAGGTGACCTCCAAACATTCATTCCATCATAAATTATTTCATGTTTCCAAGGCTTTAAAAGAAGGAAAAAAAAAAAAAAAAAAGAGTTGTGTTGTGTTTGCCCCCCGCCCCCCAAAAAGCCTTTCCTTTTTAGAAAAGGTCTTCCAGGTAAGTCTTATTTTTACAAAATTATATGGTTGTAGCCACTATCAAAGCTCATGTTCAACTGGAGACTTATAATATGGAAATATTGTGCATATAACATTTTGCCTTGAGCAGGCCTGAACGCTTTACTTCATGAGCTGAATGAAGTATATACCTTGCCCCGCCCCCCAAAAAGCCTTTCCTTTTTAGAAAAGGTCTTCCAGGTAAGTCTTATTTTTACAAAATTATATGGTTGTAGCCACTATCAAAGCTCATGTTCAACTGGAGACTTATAATATGGAAATATTGTGCATATAACATTTTGCCTTGAGCAGGCCTGAACGCTTTACTTCATGAGCTGAATGAAGTATATACCTTGTACATCATACTTTGAGCATACAGCCAAGTAATGTGGCATGTTTGTTTTTTTACAGTTCTAATACAAACACCCACATAAAGGAGACTGAAGTGCTTGTCCCTGTGTCTCAACAGATATGACTGAAGGGTTCTTGTACATGAAAAGAAGTATCAAACTCATAATTCAGCCTAAAATACTATTTTATTGTATGATATTTCCCTTCCCAAGATACCTCAAGTATCTATTAAAACAGAAGACAAAATAACAAAACATCCCCCCCAAGCCACCACAAGTCAGATAAAAACCAAAAAACACCCCAGTCACACAAGCCACAATTTGGAGGAAGAGTCTACAAGCCTTAGGTTAATTATAACAGCAACTGAAAAAATATAAGCTTATTTTAAATCTATTCTGGGAGCAACAGATAAAAATAGAGAACATGAAAAAAGCAAGAAGCTTGTTGCAATCAACACACTGAATGAAAAATCCCACAGCTGTACAGGCCCATTAATGTGTTTCATAATTTTATTTCTTCTACTGAATTTTATGATTACAGTGGAAATTAAAACCATGACCAATAACTAATTAGAACCATCCTAAAAGAATTTAAATATGTATTCATTAGGCAACTTTAGGACAATTTATTAAAAAAAAAAATCAACAGAAAGTATTTTTCCTAAACAAGATCAAAGCAGTTCATTTCAACTGAAGATAAAATGTTGAAAATACCTTTTGAATTCTTTCCAAGTTCTGGATATTTTTTTTTTTTTTTAGTATTTTAAATCTTCTTAGAAGTAGTTACTAGCCTCCCAGAGTACTGGTAATTTACAGTGATTTCCTGCAGATCTGCATGCAGCAGCACACAGGCACACTATAAACACAGAAAATGGCCTACCTGTATAAAGAGACTTACCCTAAAGAAATAATTAAGGGAAAAGACATTCAGGTATCCTTTGTTCTCTGTATCAAGCAGTTTGAAAATATATTGCAGAGCTGCAGGCTCCTTTCTGTTTTCTAATGCAAGCACAAAGTCCAGGTAGGTTTTATAGTCCTAAAAGTAGATACAATCATGTTTATTACAGTCTTCTCTCTAAATTGATTTTGCAAGCAGGAACTTTATAATTGGCAGCTATTTCATTGTAGGGGATCAGTCTGTTTTCTGAAGAAGACAACATGAAATAGAATATGGCTGCTACCACCAATGTGAACAGAAAACTTAGTTTTTAATGACTGTTGGTGATAGGAAGTCCTGCCATTTGAGAGGTAAAATAGGATTCCAAGCATAAATTCAAATTAAACACACTATATATGCTTTTAAACTATGTTTAATACATCTTTAGACTGCTGGACAAACACAATTAGTGAATATAAAAGGTTTTCATCACTGCAAATTAAGCATTCAGTGATAGTAAGCCTAACGTTACCAAACAGTGAACTACATGGCCTAAGAATTACATTAAAGTATGTAATTCTTAGACCAGAGTAGAGCGTTTGTCAATTCATGTGGCAGAAGCATTAGTAGACATCATAAATATGTATCACAGTTTTCTTTTTCATTGGTACTGGTTTTGGTTTCCCAATCAAGACATAGTTGCAACAAGGACAGAAATCCTTCAGTCCTATGTATATAATAACCCTGTCTACCTGAAACACCAGAGACATGTGCTGCCATTCAGCAGGCGCATTTAGCAGGAGCTTGACAGGATGGAAAAAATGGGCTGACAGGAGCCTCATCAAGTTCAACAGAGGGAACGCAAACGCCTTCATTTGTGGAGGAATAATGCCATGTACTGGTACATGCTGTGGGTTGACTAGTCAGAAAGCAGCTGTGCACAGACTGACTCGGGAGTCCCGATGGGGAACAAAACTGAACAGGCATCAGCAACGTGTCCTTGCAGCAAAGGCTGCTGAAAGCATCCTCAGCTGCATTAGGAAAGGCTTTCCTGGCAAGTCGAGGAAGGTGATCCTTCTACTCTACTCAGCACTGCTTAGACCATATCTGAGCACTGGGTCCTGTTCTGGTCTCCTCTGTACCAGAGAGACAGACCTACTATAGCAAGTCCTGCAAAGGGCAACTAAGAGGATGCTTCATGACCTCAATGATTCTGCAGTTCTACAAAAAACTGCTAAGTTGGCAGAAGGACTGCAGTGAACCTGTGTGAATTTGTAATTTATTACTTTTAGACTTCAGTCATCTGAATGCAGACAACAAGAGTAGAAATATATTAAGTAAAGCTTTCAAAATAAATAGAATATAAGTTTTAATTTTAACCCTAATTTAGACAGACTTCCCATTTTTCACAGCTATGGAAAGCTTACAACAGAAACCACTATTGTCTTCATGAAGAAGTGGGCAGGTTATCTAACTTAGAGTAATCTCAAGTGTGCCACTTTCATTTGGTCCTCTCTAAAGAACTATATGTAACTAAAAAGCATTATTACATCTATAAATTTTCTTCACACATGCACTTTATGTTACGAAATCTACAAGAAGCTTTGTCGCAGGCTGTCTGGATTTTTCTATCACCTCTGCTTTTCAAAACAAGGAACTTGTCTTTAAGACATGCTGCCATCACCTTGCTGTTAAGAAAATTAATTTTCTAACCTGCTGCATGGTCATTTTTGTGAACAATGATAAACAAAAGTTACTTCACCTCAAGCTACTCTTTATTTTAAATACGCTAATTATGAGACATTTTCCTTCTCAATAAGCCAAAGCTTTTATATTGTGAACAAAAGTGAAAGTACATGATTACCATTTCACCATCATAAGTTAAGCATTCCTGAAAGACACGATCCAAAAATATGTTGGTCAGAGTCCCTGTTCCATACCGGGACAGTTCTTCTTTGCTAAGCATGCCATTATGATCTTTATCGAGGTTTAAGTACTGGCCTAGGGAGATGAAAAAGGTAAAAGATAATATAACAATATCACCAAAGAACTGTTTCAACAGAGCAAGAAAATTGTTAATGCAGTTAAGTGGGAATATGCTAGATCCACAATAGTATTCATAAAACATGGGGGGAGGGGAAGTGGGATTTCCATTATGAGGTGTCAATAGTTCTACTCTAAGGTAATTGGTTCAAAAGTAAAGGCTCTGTATACAAAGCAAACAGCAGAAGGCTAAGAGAGAATTATTTTAAACAGATCTACTGTAAGCATGACCAAAGAGCATGAATAGAATCGTCAAAAGAGGTTACAAAGGAATCTTGTACCTTGTGCAACAAGCACAAAACGACAGAGGGTAAAACCTGGTAAAGAGCAACGGTGAAGAACTGAAACTGTAAGGAAAATCTGGAAGGTGTACTGAAATGATGGCTGCAGGAGTTGAAAAAACAAGTTATGAGGTGGACTTAAAGGGACAAAATCAGAGGAAAAATAACACTAAGAATGCATCTAAGTCATACAAGGCAGAGGGGAGAGGGGGGAAAAAAAAGGGAAGAAGAAAAAAGAACAAACCTACCATAAACTCTTAATGCAGAAGGAGCAGAAAACCAATTTGATTCCTGACTTTCCTTAGAAAGTTCTTCATCCCTTAACTAAGTGAAACATAAAGTTAGAATTCAGAAAGAGTAAATTAAACTAGAATAGTACACGGTAAAAGACCTTTACCTCTAGTAAGTCATCCAGGAAGCTGCAAGCTAAAATATCCTGTATCTTTATCTTCCCTGCAGCAAGAAGATGAAAACACATTTTAACAGTTGCTCAGCCAACCTATCCATTTGCCTGTTCTCATTTAGGTGGTTCTACTTAAGAAAGAAGTATTCTGAGCAAGAAAAAAAATGCCATTTAAAAAAAATCAAACAAACCCGACTTCTAACATCAAGGATAAGGCTTTAATTTAAGAGATGAAATAAAAATAGCTTTTAAAATGACTGAATAAAACTAGCCTGATATTGGCAGAAGAGAAGCCAGCCTTATAAGCCAGGAAACTAGATAAAAAATTGCAAGTTTTCAACATCAACTCAAAATGTAAAATAAAAAATGCAAAAGAAAGCATGCTTAAAACATTTGTAGGAATAATACAGTTTCTTAAGTGATGTGATATTTTTACATCTTCAGAAACTACAGATGTGACACAAAGCTAACATGGCAGAGTTAGTTACACCTTCTGCTGGTGTAGCTTTGGTGTGCAGACACTGCACAAACAGCTGTGCAAAATAATGGGCATTATAACTTCACACACCCTCTCTACATGTTTGTAATGCCATTATTGGGCAAATATGTAAAGCCTCTCTACATGTTTGTAGAGAAGGTGTACTTCTGCCAGAGGCTACTGCCCACACAACTCTGATGTCTTTGACTGGCACAGGTAGATCTTGAGAATACATACACTTGGTGACTTAAATCAAGGGCACGTGAAAAAACAAACTGTTGTCTGAGGGAGCTTTGTCTGTAATAAGGATTAGCAGCCATAACCTCAAACATTCTCTAAGGAGTTTATGTGGTACACACAAATTTAATCTGAGGAGAAGCACATGCTCATCCTTGAGCATTTCTACAGCTCTATGGATGTTCTGACAAGCAGTTCTGTTGTTTGCTGCTGTCTTCTATTCACCTTAAACTTACAAAACTAGCTACTACTAATGATAGAACAGTATCTTACTTGCCAATTTCTATGAGATAACTCAATAGTACCACAACTGATGGGCATCTCACTGAAATGCCTTAGATGTAGATTATTAGACCCAAGTAAAGACTCATGGTCTTCAGTGGAGATTAATCTTCAAATACAAGGTTACTGAACAAAAGCCTACAGAGACAACTACATATTACTTTGAAAACACAAGTAGCTTCAGTGGAAACATTTTAAAAGTGAAAATACTTTTCACCTTTGAAAACATGGACCTACCTGTTCTGAGAGGATCCAGGAAGAAGAAGAACTTTCTAACTGCTGTGCAGACATAGAAAGAGTAAAAAGATTTTTCTAAACCATCCAGTTGTGGCAACGTAGGGATGAGCTCCAAAATATAGTTTTCTAAATCCTGCAGAATTAAAAAAGAAAAGAAAGCAAGCTTTAAATGTAACTGTTGTTGCATGTTTATTATATTCTACCCTGTCTTTCAAGTATATTTTGCTAAAAATAAAATCCTGCAATGATGCATGAAAGAGAATGAAAACAGGCAAAAAAGCTTGTCTCCATGCAAGAAATCCTAGGTCACATATATGCACATGTGATGCCATGACTGAAATTGTTTACAAATAAAGCAAAATGTTAATAAAGTAGATGATACTTGCATGTAAATATAAATGCATTCCACTGTGACTTTTTCAAATACTAATGCATAACTCCTAACTGGATTATCCTATTGATGAATATTCTTTAACAGATCTTTTAACCAGAACCTTCTTATTTATTTTATATTAACTCCTGTTAGAACAGGAGAGTAATTTATTGTAGCCCACCCAAGCCATATTTTTTGTGATTTCTACTTCATCCTAATAAATCTGGTAAGTGCTAATGACATGAAACCTTGGTATCCACGATATCTTTTTCAGAGAATTACCCATAAGTTAAAAAGGTTAGCAGCACTCTTACCACCAAATCTTTGCAATATAGAGATTGCTGTTTATCCAAACAAATGTGTCCACCCCAAATCTAGATTACGATTTAAGCTTTTATCAGAGAATACCGGAGGAAAATTGGAGCCTTTCTGATGCTTTGTGGTTTGAGTACAGGCATTAAGTTAATCAAGAATTTACTTACTGATTCTCTGAGGTAGCCCTGTCCTGCCACATCATATAAACTGAGACCTATTCTTGTCTGATGAAGCCATACTGTGAAACAGAAAAGAGAATTAAAATGCAAGAAACCTTGGTGGGGGTGTGGGGGTGTTTGACGTCTCAATAAAATTTGAAATTATTCTAAAGGCTACAAGGCACTGTGGGATGCTAAGAGCCTCTCTCTATTTCCCATTTTTCTGAGATTTAAGCAAAGCCATGATATGTACCAGTCCTGCTTCAGTCTCTAAGTTGTTAAAAGTCACTGGCAATATGGTGTGGTCAAGACTGCCTTATAATAACTAGATGTGAGAAATGGCTGAGCAGACACCACATTTTATCTGGCACATGGAATCATACGGGTTTGTTCTCTCACTGACCTAGAGATATGTGTAGCAGCGTGTTTCACTGCAATAAAACCAGCTGTACAGTTTTGCATCCAGATTGCTTGTCAAATTGCCATAGCCCTTTGTGCAGCACAAGATACTGCAGCTTCAGCCAAAGGTCCTGCCCTCACTTCTGAGTTACAACAGGAGAATCAAAATAGCACAAGCATCTGGTTTTGCAGCGAAAAGGCGCTTTAATCAATCTACAGGACGTGACTGAGGCCACTGTTAAACAGAGATGGAATATAGCTTAGGCATTAAAAATATTATTTGCATACTCCATGTTAAATTTAACTTCCATTTTATGAAGAAATAGTTTAAAAGCTCCTTTTAGGAAATATGAGCTGTGCTTCACAACAACATGAATCATAGAATCATAGAATGGTTTGGGTTGGAAGGGACCTTAAAGTAACCCTCAACATAAGAAGGATATAGACCAGTTGGAGCGAGTCCAGAGGAGGGCCACGAAGATGATCAGAGGGCTGGAGCACCTCTCCTATGGAAAAAGGCTGAGTGAACTGGGCTTGTTCAGCCTGGAGAAGAAAAGGCTCCGAGGAGACCTCATTGCAGCCTTCCAGTACCTGAATGGGGCCTACTAGGAAGCTGGGAGGGGTCTTTTTACAAGGGCATGTAGTGACAAGACAAGGGGTAATGGGTTTAAATTGAAAGTGGGGAGGTTTAGATTAGATATCAGGAAGAAATTCTTCATGGAGAGGATGATGAGGCACTGGAACAGGTGTCCCAGAGAAGCTGTGGATGCCCCATCCCTGGCTGTCTTCAAGGCCAGGCTGGACAAGGCTTCAAGCAACCTGGTCTAGTGGAGGGTGCCCCTGCGCATGGCAGGGCGGTTGGAACTAGATGATCTTTAAGGTCCCTTTCAGCCCAAACCATTCTATGATTCTATAATTCTATGATAAATACACAAGACAAATGAAATAAAGAGCTTTGAATCTCTGCCGTGTGCACTGGATAGGCCTTTTGGAAATGCATACAATTTTCACAGACTTCTTCACAAGCCTTCTATCCTGCAGGTTTTGGGTTTGCTGTTTGTTGCAAATGAGCCTATTACTGCTTTCTTGTATACTCTGTATGTCAACTCACCAAGTTTGCTGCTCATCACATCTGTCACCCCTTGCACCACAACATTTTAAGTTAAACAAGCTGAGCAGCTCTGGGGAAAGCTGCCATTCTTCCCTTCTGAAGGTTCTATCAGACCTAAGAACACTGTAGCCAGGGGACAAAGCAATGAGGCTACCTTCCTTTCTTCTAGCCAGCCTCACCTTTTTATACAAGATCTAATACAGATTGGGGGAAGAAAAACAAAAAACCCAAACCAAAACCAACCAACCGATCAAAAAACCCCACAAACAACTAAAACCACCAAACATTTTTCAGCCCAAGTGGTTATTTATAATAAAAAATAGCTGAAAGGTATGGTAAGGCTATAGCGACAAGCACAAGAACATACTGACATATTTGACAACCAGAGTTAGAAAGAAATAGTTAAGACTGTAAAAGAGAAAACAGCAAAGTGATCTGCCAGACACTCTGACCACTGTGGTTAGGATCATACTCGCCACACAACTTTACAGTTTTGCTCTTCACACTACTGCCTGAATAAAGGAAATCAGAATGACAATATATGTAACAAATAGATCAAGGATACATCTTGCTGAGAGGAGAGGTGGATTTCAGAGCTAGGGTGAACTCTCACCTCCCAGTAACCGGAAAAATTCCTAAGCCTCCAGCAAGACAGCATTAGCAATCAAGGGCTAGATCTCACTGCCATTGAAGAGAACAGCAAGTAATAAAGCTTCAAATAGCCTTGAAAACAACTTCCCATTAACACAGAAGAAGCATCAACCAACCTTTTCGCATGACATAATTGAAAAACTGCATGATAGATATCCTCCCATAAGCATCATTATGGAGTAATTTAGCAAAGATCTTAGCTGTGAAGAACTGCCTGTAAAACATAAACACAAAGCTACTTCTATGCCTCTGATCACACTACACTGACAGATCCAGTTACAGTTGCCAAAACTTACAGACACTTTAAAATACTGTTTTAACAATAAAGAATGTGTTGTGTATTCAAAGAGATTAATTTGGTATACACTCAAGTGAGATCCTACCAAGCATCAATGGTAAACTCAGTAAAAAGCAGCTGCCTTTGCTACTCATTAGACTCTTCAGTAATGTGGGAGTTTTTCGAGCTTTCATTTAATTTGGTTTCTCTTAAGTACAATATACTGGGTAGTTTTCAATCTTCTACAATATGCACATAAAAGGAACTACCAGTACCAAAAACTAACCTGCTTTTGCCCAAAACTTAATCACAAAGATATGCACACAACAGCAGCCTCCAACAGGAGAAAAAGAAGGACTATTCATTGTATGCTGTACACAGAACATCTCATGGGAAATTTTCCATCACAGGATATTAGGAAAGGTTGAGCAATATTAATGGTGATGTGATTTCCTCTTCAAATACAAAATGTGCTGTTTACTGGCCACTAACATCCTAAAAATGCTCATGCTGATAAGAATTTCTTCTGCAAAAGTACCACTCTTACAGACATCTCTCTATTGAGAGTTCCCTCACAGATGTAGGGCAATACACCTTTGCAAGGCTGAAAAGCAACTTGTTCATCAATAACTACATGGACATTATTTTATCTCAACATTAAACTGTTTCCACCTATTTTAGCAACTGAAAGTTACAGCAGCACTTAGGTTTAGCCAAAGTAAGCACACACAAGAAAAGAAAGCCTTACTTGCATTTAGGTCCAGCTTTTTCACCAACTTTCAAGAAGTTCTCATAGTTGATCATTGCTTCTTCCCCAATCACTGGTGATGTCTGATGTTTGTCCAGTAGAAACCATAGGTTCTTAAAAGGCATATATAATTGGTTAAGAAGATACCTCTCTAGAGATGTCAATGTGCTAAAGATGGAGCATCTAAGAAATGCAGCAAAAGTGTGGTTTTGCTGCAAGATTCTCCCAGTTAATCAGTAAACATTGTCAGTTCAGCCAGAAAAGCAAACAAGCAGTATTTTCACTGCTCTAAACTGGTGTTATACACACACAGATACAAAAAGACACACTCTCTCAGATTTCTAGGGTCACATCCCTTTTGACTTTGCACTACAGTAAACTCAATCTTTGGAGTCTCTCTCAGTGATACATAAACGGAATTTATTTCTTCTTCTGGGCCCACTGGGGGAATCATTGGAATGTGCTGGAAAACCAGAAGCCATTGATTTAGTTGTCATATACATGATAACGAGGAAGCTTTACACTGACATTACCAGCCCAAGACTACGCAGCACTTTAGCATTAGCTAGTACTTCAAAACCAGCCAACATGCTCAAATACAAAGCACCTTACCACAAGATTCTGTGGACAGACAGGAGATACTCAAACTCTGTGGAAAGAGTAAGTCTTGCCAGAAGCCATTATAAGACATACAGAAAATATTTCCTTACCTGCAGCTCTTCATTATCCAACAGTTCTCTACTTTTTCTTTGCAGAAAAACTGCTCTAGATTCTTCTCTTAATTTCTGAAGCAAGACTTCATCTTCAGCTGGCAGCTAGAAACATTGTGACATTTTAATTTTCTGTACAGTGGTACCATGCAAAAAACTACACATCTAGCAAGTACTCTTAGGTAGTCCTGACTCACATACACTGACATAGCTGTTTACTTGACAGAAAATAATGACCTATCTATCAGAGTGCTGTATGGTACCTGCTCCTTGCACAGGGATATCACTTACATACTGTCTCAAACTATTTCAATATGGAAATACTTATTTAAAGCAGCACATCTTTAACATGAGGGACAGAGACGCACCTCATACCTGATAACCCATCCAGTAAGCAGTTTTGCACAGTTGCAAGACAGGAGGGCTCACACGTAAAAGACAATTTATTACTTTGCTTTTACTTGGGAGAGAGCAGCACTTTCTATTTTGCGGGAGGCTTGACCCTCAAAAGTTCGAATGTCTACTAGACTTGTTCTGGCCAACAACACAGATGGCAGAACACTTAGTATGAAAGCTCTGCTGATGTTTACATGCAAAATGGTACTGCACTACCAGAACCTTGGTTGTGTATGTATTCATCAGCTGAAACATCAGTACTTGAGAACTTAATTGGCAGAAACTCATGATTTTAAGGAATACGGGACCATGCAAGGCTAGACAGCAGCCAAGTGGTCAAGTTGACAAGTGACAGCAATACCAAAATGTCAAACTTGTACTACCATAATTCCTCCATCCCAATCTGAGTCATCTCACATGGAAGTTGCTGGAGCAAGCAAGTTGCTGGATATTGCAAGCAACAGACCTATCTTTAGCCTGCAAGACCAATGGCCCACGATTTTCATGAAGCAGCATCCCATTATGTCTAAACAGAAACAGGAAAATACATATTTATAACACTGGTATGTCAAAATTTAGTTAGACCAGGAATTTTCTCTGAAAGAGGACTTCCTGTTGTTAGTAAACAGCCAAGCCTACTGCTTTTCCCAGCCTTCGATGAGATGCTTAGTAATTATTTGAAACTGCTGAAATCCACAAATGCACAAATAAAAAAATTATGCTTAGCAATCTGTATCATTCAGACTTCAATATACTTAAGCTTCTGAAGCTTAAGTGTCCCTCTGAGTAGGAATAACTTTTTTTATAACACAGAATATCCTCTTAGTGAAGTTTATCTGGATACTTCACTTACCCTGTAGTAAAATCGTGGTATGTTCATATATGACGTATTGCCACTTTTTCTTCCTCCTTTCCATTCCATGTAATATTTTGTGAACAATTCCATTTCTTCACCTTTTAGCTCTTGTTCACTCTTTTTGGCTGATTAACACATGAAAGACTTTTCACATTTGTGTTGTTTTTAGTTGGGACAGAGTTAATTTTTCTCACAGTAGCTAGTATAAGGCTATGTTTTGGTTGTGCTGAGGATAACACTGATAACATACTAATATTTTTAGTTGTTGCTAAGCAATGTTTGTATCAATGCAAGGACCCTTCCAGTTTCTGATACTGCACCTGTGTTCCCAGCTTCTTCTCTACATGAAACCTGGAGGGGACACCACAGCCAAGACAGCTGACCCAAAATGACCAAAGGGGTATTTCATGCCATAAAACATCATGCTCCATGTTTAAGTTGGGGGGTGGATCAGGGGTCCCTCTCTCTTCTCTCTCAGAGGGGTACATGCTCTAGGGCTCTGGGGCTCTGGCTCTTGCTACTCAGGGAGTGGCTGGGTGTCAGTCAGCAGGTGGTGAGCAGGTGTATAATTTGTTTTCTTTTTCATTGTTTTCACTACATATTACTAATATTGCTATTAATAACATTAGTATTGTTAGTATCATTATTTCATTTATTTTCAATTATTAAACTGTTCTTAACCCATGAATTTTCTTGTCTTTTCCTCCAATTCTCTCCATCCTACTGTAGGACAGTGGAGGTGAGTGAGCGTCCATGTGGTACTTGGTTGCTGCCAGGGGTTAAACCACAACAGTCCTTTACTCCAAAAAAGAGTTTTAATGTAAGGAGCTTGAAAAAAAAGGAGTTAATGCTGAGGTTTATACAGCTATGCTCTGCAGTAACACAAATACTAGGTGGAAATAAACAGAGCATAGGTCTATTATGTAAATTATAAACCAGACACGTCTAATATGTCACATGAGTATCTACAAAGCACCTCTCAGTAACTGCACACACCTGAATCTCTGTAAGGTAAGCAATTGCAACAGATGCATGGTTATGACTGACAAAGAAGCAGCAGCATTCCTGTTTTACACTGCTAGGCCTGCTTAAGACAGAAGCAGCAGCACAAAATCACCTTTCATTCTCTAACATTAGGGATATCATTATATGCCTGCACAAGCTCCTGTGGGCCTACGTATGAATAAAAAGTTACCAGCCAAAGCTGGCACAGAGTGAGGTCCCGGCCACAGACAAACCAGCCTTTACAGCACCAACGTCCACACCGCTCCTCAGTGTTCCTCACGGTCACTAGCTCCTAAAATAAGGGTGCTTGGCTCTCCACAGACCGAGACCTGCAGGTCTGGCACTCTGCATATGCAATGTAAAGAAACACTGAACACGCCGACGCTCGCCCTAACGCCCCACCAGGCCGAACCCCGAACCCCCTCGTCCCTGGGGGCACCGTCTTACAGGGGCACCTCCCCCTTCCC